AGGGTTTGGGCATTGAATTGCATGCCGTCCTCACAATTGCAATTACTGTAACATGAAGTAAGACATGCACATAATGAGTCCCTGCATTGCCACAAACCTTGCAACTGTATTGCACACACACACACCGTAAGTAATGGTGCAACTAAGTAGCTGTGAGCAACTTGAAGATCTTCGATGCAGCATCCCCACCAATTTGAGCAGTTTTCAATGCAGCCCTAACAGTGAAATCTGCATCGGTGGATCCCGGTAGGTGCCCATCTCCCACCTTCTCAATGACTCGCATCTCCTTCCCAGATAGCTGGGCCGCTTGTTGAGTCCTGCCATCAGTAAAGAGGCTTGATTTCTTCCAGAACATCTTTGATGCTAGGGCTGAAGCTGGCACCAGAACACGTCCAGGGTAGATCAACGGCCGTTCATTTCGAAGGTCCTTATCCCAGGGTGGGAGGTCAAGTTTTGCTGGTGGCTTGAGCAACATGCCCCTCATGTAGGCTTGCAGCTTGCAGGTGCATAGATATATTATAAACACATACCACAGAAACAGTAAAAACTCTTCACTCAAGCACCCTGTCTTGTTCATGTCCTATTTTGAGCCTCAATCTACCCAGAATATAAACTACCTTTGAGCACTATATATATATATATAAGGACTCAATTAGTTGGTCTTGGATACACAATCACCAAGCCTTTAACCTGTTGGATACCAAGACTCAAGACGGTAAGTTATTGTCCTGTTCGATAATTGCAACCCAAGGAACACATTTCTTCAAGAATTGGAGAAACCACTGCTTGTCACACTGAGCTCCAGTTCCAGAAATCCACTCCATCACCATTGACTCTTCCTTCCAAAGGAAGTTCCGGGTGTAGCTGTAGACTGGCATCAAAGCAAGGCCCAAATTCTTCACATCATCCGAAAGCAGGTACCCCACAACATGCATAATTGCCGGCATGTGGTTAGCGGCCACTAGAGCCGGTGCGCTCAAGTTCATCAAGGACACAATCGCCTGGGACCGCAAAGTATGTGTGATTTAGCATGACCGTGCGCCCAAGAACAAGGCTCCACCTTCCATGAAACAAAACCCAATCCCCTTAATCAAGACACACATCCATCATCTACAATTTGGAGGGCTCGTCCACGTTGAGACACCTCCTTCTTCAACTCCGTGATGGCCACTGCACCAGGATCTTGGGTAGCCCAGGTCTTGATAGTTACCTCAAAGAAACATTGCTACTGGTCATGCCTTACCTGTGAATATCCATCAGTTCTATCCATTCGATCCTGCTTTCTAAAAGACTAGGTGCATGAGTTTGCATGTAATGCTCCACAGCTTGCTGGGCATCCTGCACTACCTGGCCTTTCCACTCTTGGGTCTTTCGAGCTCGGTTTGACATGCACTGAACCACCTTCTGCCGGTAAACTTTGAAACTTTCTAAGTCAAAAAAAAGCTCATTCATCAACAGCTCCAAGTTTGACTTGTCAATTTGTTTCTGCTTTTGATCCATCAAATCCACCATGGCTGAGACAGGCTTGGTTGGGTCAGCCTTATCCTGAGCAAAGTTGTCCAAGATCGTTTTCAAACCTCAGCTACCCCCAACCAAGGAACCAGCCCCAATTCAGTGACAGAAGAAACACTTGCTGCTCCGCAACTTGGATTGTCCCGGATCGAGTACTTGGCATCTTTCACAGACACCGCATTAGAAAGCTCCGCCAAGGCTGATGGATCTGCTTCTCGGATCCGGCTCATCCACCTCAGCCATGAACCCTTACACGGTTCCTTTACATAAGTATGCCTTTGCACTCAACTCATAACTAATTCTTCCCAGAAACTCCTTCTCCACCAAATCTTCGAGTTTGGGGGCAGCGATGCAAACATCATTCTTGAAGCCCACTGCCAAGCAACCTCACAAGCCACCACTAGGAGTGGTTGGGAAGAATATGTTAATGGCACACAACCAACTTTCCAGGACCTAGCGCAACTAATAAATCAAGTAACATTGCTCCAGAAGGCTTTCCCCCTCCGCTTTGGTTGGTTGCCTCCGGCCCCCCTTTTGGCTCCGGTCCCATTTTGCATTCAAGCACGTGATCCAAAGGTTCAAAGCTTCCTTGGTCACCTTTGCCCAATGCCCCGCCCAAGGTGACGTTTTAGGCACTTTTGTAGTTTTGAAGGTGAAGCTCACCAAAAGTTTCTTGCTCGACAGTAGATCTTCCGTGTAGGGTGAGCCTCAGACCCATCAAACATGGCAGCAGAGGTGTTGCAGGAACTGCCTGACAAAATTCAACTGCAGCACAAGAAACTGTCAAATCCATACTTGTTGATGTAGGCAAACATAGCTTGTCTGCACTCTGAAGGAAGGTCCAAAAGGTTCTTCACAGTGAGAAACTTTTGACCAGTGACCTTGTCCGACTTGGGGGCCTGTGCATTCCATGCATTCAAAGTCGCTTGTAGGTCTTTGTCGCCTGTCTTGGCTAGCTCTAGCAAGCTGTTGACCCAAGTTACCGCCGTGGGGGCTGTCCGAACTGATCCCTTGACAGCCACTCGCAAGTTGTAGAACCTCAGAACGCCCACCACAGGGTTCCCCAGAGAAGTGAAGTGGCGCACAACTTGTGTCCCATTTGGTAAGTATAAGTATGTTTGCTTGACCCTCCAAACCCTTTGTGTAATGAGTCCAGCAACAGTTCCTCCTGGCGGTTGGTCAACTCCACATGCACACACCAGATCCTCTGCAAGCTTTGTTGCAAGCCAACATGAACCTTAGTCCCACAAGGGTCTAGAACATGTTTGGAAGACTCTGTTAGGGCAATATTCAACATGTACCACAGTACCCCCGGCTTTGGATTGACAAGAGGCTTCACTCAACTTCGCTTTGCGTTGGTGCACCACAGCCAGAATGGATAAGGTGGTTAAGATTCGAAGCTGCCCTTTCAGATAGAGGAGCTGCCCCACCCCAATCTCATCAAGAGGCTTCCAATTCACCTCACAGGTTTCGTTTGCTATTCATTTGCTGGTGCAAGTGGGCACTGCAGCAATCTCTTGCTGTATTCAAGCTATCTTGAGACAAGGTGCTGGGAAACGAACTTTCACTGGCTCCTCCACGTCATACCCATAGCTGCAAAGAATCCCAAGAAGAAGGCGAGCCTTCTCCAGCTCTGGTGGACCCGTCAACCCAGCATCATCAGCAAAGGAAAATTGGGACAAAGGCACGCACACAGGTTGCACCGAGCCCTCTTGCTTTGGCTTGGCAATTGGAATGTCACTGTACCTCAAGGCATACATTTGAGTAGGATCTTCCCCAACCTCTGATGCAATCCAAGTATAGAATTCATTCCGCAGAGCTTGGTTCGGATATGTCGCTTGAAGGTATTGCCTCGGACCACCATGGCCTGGCAGGGCAACTGCATCAACCTACATAATTTACTGTATTGTAATATTATATATATATATATGTGTGTGTTAACTCTAAAAAGTATCACATAGCCACATAGCAACTTCAACTCAATCCGTTTTGCTTTCAACATGGTAACTTGGGCCTTTGATCTCATTATAGACCACGTTTGCCAACTTCTCATGTTTATCCTGATCTTGCCCAGAGTCATGAGTCACCAAATCCCATTGCTCCAGCTGTGTGGTTGTGTCCGATGGAGGTTGAATTTCTGATGCCATGCAACTGCTGGCCACTTCATCCCGCTCCTCCGCTAGCAACAAAAGCCACAGAGAAAGTAGTCTTACCAATTGATAACAACACCAGACTTCCGTCACTAGAAAAAGTTATTACTATCAGCTAGTGTTCTCTCCAGTCCATGGAAGCAATTGAGCCATTCTCCACACCTCTTATGCCTTCAAAGGGTCTTTCCTCCATGGCCCCCCTCCCTCACCAAGGCTGAAAGTCAGGCTATCAAAAGCTGGCTGTCAGCTCCACACTAACGGTGCCAAAAGCTGATAAAGATACACAGCAACCCTTTGCAAAGAAACACCTCTTGAAAACCAGTCTTGTCCGCCGGACCATTTGGGGTCGTCCAATCTGGAGTTAGGAGGTTTTCAAATGAAAACCTTCGATCTCAAGGGTTGATGGAAATTCTCCGCCGGACCATTTGGGGTCGTCAAATCTGGAGTTAGGAGGTTTTCGGATGAAAACCTTCGATCTCAAGGGTTGATGGAAAATTCTCCGCCGGACCATTTGGGGTCGTTCAACTGAGATCTGCTGAAAAAAAAAATCTCCTAACTCCAAATCTGATTTTGAGAAGGTGAGTTAGGAGGTTTTCATCTGAAAACCCCCTATCTTCCTTTTGAACCTGAGAATCCTCCTAACTCAATGTTTGATTTTGGGACGCTGAGATCTGCAGATTTGGCTTTCCACATCTGAGTTAGGGGGTTTTCAGATGAAAACCTCCTAACTCAATGTTTGATTTTGAGATGTTGAGTTCTGCAGATTTTCCTTTTTTTCTTATGTCGCGATGATTTGGGTCTCCATCTCCTCAGCTGTCTTCTGAGCTGGAAATTCCCCCACCAACTCAAAATTGGCATCACAGTGATGCCGCATCACTGGGCAAAAGTGCCTGGGGCCTTTCACTCCCCTGGGTGATCGGCCTGCCACTGGCACAGCACACATCTGGCCACAGCATCGCAAAGCTGGGACGGGTACACCTGTGCTGCTTTCGTTCGTTTCTGTCCGCCCTCGGACCCTTCCAAGCGGCAATGCTCATGATCTCCGTGGCAGCGCTTGCCTTGGAACTCCTGTATGATGGCGGGACAATTTGTGGCAAAGACTGTTGGCTTCTTGATTGGTGTTTTGCTCTCAACGGATACCAAACCATAGCGGCACTGGTCAAAAATGACTTTCACCATCCCCGGTAGCTCCTTCACCTGGATGATCCATAAAATGCTCTCCCCAAAGAAACTTTGCTGGACATTTCTTTCCCTTCTTGACATATCATCACATATCTATTTGGATATTGACACATCTATTTCAAAAAAACATATATATATATACAACACAATATAACATTATATAACAATAGTAAGCCCTTCTGACTGTGGACAGGACACATTTGCACGGTTCCAGGCTTGTGATCCTTCAGGGTTCTCGATGCAATAGTACGACTTGGTTGCTGCCTGAATGGTTGAAATCCAACAGGAAACATCAATGTGCCCAATGCCCTTGTGCAACAAGTCATACTTGGTGAGTGGGTCCATTTTGCCCCAGTTGCTGAACATATACTGTGAGAGGTGTGTGCAAGGAGGGGAGAGCATTGAAAAGAACGGTTGAAGGTTCAGGAAGTCACTCAGGAGCACGTGCTGGATTGCAGGTTCAGTCAGGTCGTAAAAGGTGTCCACCTTGGTGCTCTTGGTGTGGACCATGACTTGTCAACAAACCTGAAATGTTATTTTATTTCCATCAGAAAAAAGAAAAACAAACAACAACATTGAAACATGATAGCTGACCAGCCAGAAAACATCAATGCTCCTGAGGGCCCGCATTCCCAGTGCCCGAGCCACTGGAGCTATGCGTGGCCTGCTGTAGACCTCCCAAAAGTGGCACCGTCGCTTTGGTTCCACAGCACGAAGAGTTGTCAACTCCGCGGAAATATCTGCAAAGGGAATGGATGGCCTCACCACCAATTCAAGCCCTTTAATGTGAACCCCCCAGTTGTGCAAAATCCAAACAGCATTGACATTGAATTGGACCCAAGAGCCTTTATATAATGCAACCTAATGACTGTCCAGGAAAGGTGGTAGCATGATCGTAGTAGTCCTGTCCAGCCTCCGTCTTGGGCTTCTTGGTTCCAGATGTTTGCCCCTCTGCAATATCTGTTGTTCTCTGAGCCTGTTCACTGTCCTTCCCTTTCTTTTTCTCAGTCTTTGGTTTGGCTTGGGCACTAGTTTTCTTCGGTTTGGCCTTCGCCTTGCCCTTTTTCTTGCTCTTAGGGTTTGGACTTGCATTGTCCTTCACCCCGGGAAGAGCCAATTCAAAGGACCCATCATCATCAGGAGGGAGGGCTGCCATTGGACTGGACCCCTAAAGCAAACAACACTTGGGCCCAATCCTGTGCACAATTCTGTTCATGTCAACCCTCTAGCTAGTTTGTGTATACCCCCCTTCCGCAAGACACCATCACCAAGCATCTGCAGTTCCTGACATGTGCAAAACCAATGAAATTCAGCAATCCTCACTCCACCTTACCTGTGTGAACAACGTTTGCAGCAAATGCGTTTTCCTTTTCAATGAGAACTCGATTGTTTGTTTGGTCCATCAAAGGTTGCTTCGCCCTTGACGTTTTGACCCGGCACCCCATATTGCGGACATGTTTGCTGGCTTTTATGCTTTCATCAACACAACCAACATTGCTAGAGTTGACACAAAGTAAGTGTGAGTTGGAGACTCCACCAGCTTTCACATCCAAAATTACCCCAAACTAAGAATATCAGGAAGGCTGCTGCTGCCCCCTGCCACGGCCCCGGCCACGTCCACGCCCCATGGACTTGGCTCCAGCTTTTGCTGCAGCCTTTGCTTTTGCTGCGGCCTTCCCCTTTGGCTGAGGCATGTTGCCCTTGCCACCCCCTTTACCCCGAGGAGTATAGCCTACTTTTCTGCATTGCTTGCAGCCAGTTGCTTGGAATCTACACTTTGTGCATCCCAATGTGCGACCAGCTGGAAGCTGACCCTCACCTCCCCCCTCAACTTCACCTTCATTGCCATTTGTCACAGGTGGAGGAAGAGGCAAAGCATTTGATCTCACTGGGCTAGCAACTGCTCGAGCACGGATTTCACGAAGCCGCTTCTGGTTTGCAGCAACCTGCACCCGCTGTGCATCTTGCAAACCCGCTGCAGAGATCAGACGTACTGGCCCTGGGGCAAATCGCTTCCACCTCAACTGATCAAATCCACCCAAAATATATCCATAGGCAAAAAAGGAGCCATGAGGGCCTCCATACCCAAGAGCCAAAGAAAAAAGCAAATTAATCAGCTTGGCAACCCTTCAGGTGAAGGAATCTTCTCATCCATCATATGTGTGAAGAAGAATACCGGCATCACCGCTTCTGGGAAGCTTTGTTGCTTGTTGTTTTCCTTGGCTTGGGTCCCGGTCCCCAACTACATTAGCAAATGCCACCCCAGAACATAACCACCCTAAGCCCACCAAGGAAAGGCAAAGCATCACCCTAATTTGGTTGAAGGATCCACAAACGCTCTCAAATAACTTGAGGCACTTTGCAAGAACCACGGCTCTGCTTCCACACATTTTGCTGTCCGGAGGTACCTTGACCCAGGCAAATGGCTAACCCTAGAGCCTTAAAGTGTCCTTTGAACAAAACCTACCCCGCCTACCCCTTCTGTGTTTTAGCTGTGGTGCTCTTCACATTCTTTCTTGTTCAACTCCTTGCGTGGGAGGGTTTTCAAAGTCACCCCATCCAAAGCCTTGAGGTAGCTCTTGGGCAAGATGAGCAAGGGTGGTTGTGACAACGAAGCAGAATGCACCCATTCCTTGCAAAGCATAACCACATCCATTGCATCCTTGGTGTTCTCCTGTCAGGACCCCACATTGTGAACAAGAAAACACACAAACAAACAAGCAAACAGACCAACCAACCAACCAGCGAACCATCCAACCAACCAACAAACAAACAAACAAGCAAACAACAACATCAATCCAACCAACCAACCAACCAACCAAGCAAGCAAGCAAGCAACCAACCCACCAACCAACCAACCAACCAACAAACAAACCAAGGCCACAATGTGTTTTTGATCATTACCATCCACAAATGATTTTGCACAATTGGCTTAGTTTAGCCACCCCAACCTGGTCTGTGAACTCTGTGACCTGCCATGGAACCTCGCCATCATAGTCATAGGTTGGCAAGTCCTAGCTCCGCAGACTGGACCAGAGGGTCTCAACACCAACAGATTGGACCATGGAGCAGGGTATGGAATGGAACCACCAGGGGCACCTCTCCAAAATGTTACAAAATTGGAACTCAACCAAACCCAACCACTAGGAACCACCTTTGTGGTTACAATCCTAAGTGGGCATGGTAGGTGTTCCCACTTGAAGGTCGTGTTCCTTTTCAATCATAGTGTAGACAAATTGAAAAGACCCAAGTCATCACACTTGTTCTTAGTTGAGTCTTCAAAAGACTTGCGCAAAGCTATTTGCTCTCCAAATTCTTCCATGGACCCAAAGAAGGGCACCTAGTGGCGTTTGGCTGTTGAACCACCCAAACCCTCCGTGACCCCCTCTCAAGGTACAATAACAAGGCTCCATTCTGCGCACAAAGCGCCAGCAGTGGTTGGTATGCATCTGCGGTTGCAGTCCACGCGGGTTGGGCGTGAGCCCCGTGATCACCACATCCAACCCTTCCAAGTACACCTTGAAGTTCAAGGCACCACTCAGAACTTCCACGATCAACTTCCGGTTTCTTGTTGGAGTCACAAGCCGGCGTACTGCTTCAACAAAGTCCTACCAAAAAAAACAAACCTCTAAGTTCCAAAATCCATCACCTTTGAAGCAGCACACATTAGCTCTTTGATTTCAACTCTACTACCATCGTAACTGTCATGTGTCTTATTCAGTCCTTAGGACATTGAAGCACGTTGCATTGGGCCAGCGCGCTTGCGACCACGGAGTACCTTTGGTCTAGAGGTCCGTGCGTGTGCCCCACTTCACCAAAATAGTGCTGGCAGCTGCGGAACCTCAACAGATATCCCCAAACTTGACCGCCCCCGGTTTAATATGAAACTTATGATTTGAAGTGGCCGGAACAAAATAATGAAAAAGCACGATTACAGTAAGGGACCTTTTCGACCCCACCATCAGACTCTGCAGTAAAGCCAGGGTTTGGTTCTTGCCCTCCCTGGCTGTATTGTCTGTCTGCCAGGGTTTATCAGGGATGCATTTGGTTGACCAAGGTTTGGTTGAAACTCCAAACTAGCATTGAATATAAAACCGAAGCATGTTTTTGCTCCCAGGCTTCAAGGATGATGTTTCCAGGCATTGCAGTGGATCTTTGCCGAAGTATCTCCGCTGCATCATCTAGAGCCTTGCAAAGGATGCTTCCCTCTGTCGAGGCATCCTTAGGCATGTCCGCCTCCATGACATAAAAACACTCTGCGACCTGAGATTCAGACAGATCTTTGTCTGGGAAAGGCATCACTATGGCCAGGAGAAAAACAGGTAAGTCCCAACACAGGTCTCCCCAAAACATCAATGAAATGATCAACTCAGATACTCCCCAAATCAAAGATCCATGGAGGTGAAGCTGTGGTCTCCAAAGGCGTTCAAGGGATTTTGCATTCGATACATTTCTCGGACATTTGAACTTGGCTTCATCACAAGCATCAATGTCCACCTTGATGAACTCATCATAGTTGTCCTGTCTACCTGGCTTAGTGGCATCCTCTGACATGTGGTTCATCCGGGTTTGAGCGCAACGATACTGCCTCACCATATTGATGTGCACTTCCTGCGCCTTCATCACCGCAGCTCGGTCATCACCTCTGGCCGTCTTGATGCGCTCGGTGAATTCAGCACAGGAAGTACACCTAAGTTAGCCGAGTGTCAATGAATTCACAAACCCAACCTCCCAAGTGTACGGCCAACCTCCCAAGCCAATTAAACACCCAGCAACAACAATTGTGTTTTACATCGAGTAGGGGCTTTGGCCTCTCCATCGTTGCACTCCCTGTCCATTTTCCAAAAAGCTTTTGTTCCCATCTCCAATAAAGCCAGGATGATCCACATCAATGTAGTGAACAGATGTGAGGATCATCCACCCTTGATAGTGTGGGAAGTGCTTTGCTTACTGCAACCCCCCCAGTCCAGAACCCACAAAGCAACCACCAGGCAAGTTGCTGAACTCTTCACTAAGCTTGAGAAAGCTGCTTGCCAGTCAGTCGTGTAGAAATATATGCTTGCTGGTCCCCCTTCAAAGCTTGGCTGTGAAAGTAGTCGTGAAAAAGATAGTATAGTGGCCCGCATATGCAACAGGGCTAAAACCAAAGCCCGGTTTAAGTTGCAAAACGTTGATTACATGTCCCCGGCTTAAACCTGTTGCTTGTCCTTTCTTTGCCTGTCCATGACTTCAGTTGAAACTTGGGGTGAGCAGGTTTGATCCAGTGAATGCTTTTTCATGTCCACAGTAGCCTCCCCTCTCTCTCTCTCCCTCTCTCTTCTCTCTCCCTCTCTATCTCCCTCCCTCTCTCTCTCTCTCTCCCTCTCTTTCTCTGTCAGGCCTGTGCAGGTCAGTATGCAACTCTTTGTAGCCTACTTTTTTCTATTGTGCTTGAACCTATCAAAGAATTGAGGAACTAACGCTTGCATTACAGCGATGCTTGAAACACAATCCTTACCAACCCTGGTTGTCAGAAAACCAGGTAGACGTTTCCCAGAAGTACCAAGGAGTATATAATCTCTCCAAACACACACCTGACAAAGTACTTGAGGTTTCTGGAGGAAAATTCCTTTTTTGGCAGGTCAAGATGT